AATCACAGACTCATGTCGGGTAAGCAGCGCTTTACGCACCGACTTTGTCACCGTGATCTGTGACCAAACACAATCCTCCGAGAACTCGGTCTGGTTGCTTCTTCCGGTGGCAGCATTGGTTGTGCTGAACGTGCACGTGTCGTTGTGAAACCACCCGCACTGTGCGGCGGTGGTACGTAGACGGCGCTCACTGGTGCGCCCGACCTGTTTAAACTCGTCGTCTAGGGTGGTAGCGCTGAGCGTGACAGTGTGCCGACGGTCCTGGTTCAGACTCGGATGGAGGCAAACGTGGAGCTTGAAGGCGCGCACCGTGCGGGCGGCCTCCAGGCCCTCCGGCGTACGCCAATGCTCGCTGAACTTCATCTGCACTTCTCGACTGGTGGTTCTCTTGCAAAAATGTCTGAAATTGCCGCTGGACCTATCAAGAATATGTGTTTCCTCTTCACAGGGAAGACAAACCAAGACAGAAAGACAGACAGGCAGCCAAGGGAACAAAATTAATAACCATGTCAGGCATAACAGCTTTTCATCACAGTTTGTCCATGTTTTCACTGCATTCCATGAACACAGTAGCCATCGGTCATTGCTGTCTCACTGTCAGGAGCCGGAGCGTGCTAACACAGACCTCAGAGCAGTTTGTTGCAGCTCAGTGTTTAACACCAAGCGATCTTCAGGCCACATCCCGTACCTGGGGATCGCTTGGAGCAGAAACTGCGAGTTGCTACAAATTGTTCTGACGTCTGTATCATTCCCAAAGCAGTCGGCTTCTATACTTCCGTTTGGCCTTGAAGGTTAGCCGAAATTAAAAAATCCCCGAGCAGAAAAGATGGCAAACAGGAGAAACAAGCGTGTGAAGATGCCCAACATAACAAAAGAACGTGGAGTGGGAGACAGACAAACAGATCAAGGAAGAGTACTAGTAACGAACAAGCCCAACGATAGTTCCACGCACTTACATGTACCTGGGGTACCCTGTAAAAAGACTCACACTCAGAGTCACAGTCTGTGGGGATTTCCCTAGTAAAGTAATAAAATACATGACAACATTTACGCAGACACGTGTACAGAATAAAAAAATGGAGGCCGTTCCCTGCCCTGCATGGGGTATTGATGAAAACATTCGTGCCACAAGGTCGTCCAAGAGTGAACGGATGTTGCATGCAGTCGTCTGACGAGTGCAAGAGTTCGGTGGGCTGACGTCGACGACTGGAACATGGACAGACTCACTGCTCACGGCCGGGACAGTCTCCTGTACATGTAGTTTCCCTATCCTAGTAATTTAGTTCGGCACTGTCAAGTGTGATGATGAGGAGAAGACCAGACCGCTTTCACGCTTCAGTGCTACAGCACCAGGGAATGAGCAGATCGGGCTACACGAGATGTACAGGTTCCTGCACGAGTATGAGGGCAGTACCGCGGAATCCTGCCCGCGCCGCGATAGCGGCAAGGGCTGGATGAGCAGCGGTGCTGACCGAGTATGAGTGACTGGAACGTGTTTCCCGTATGCACCCAAGCCAAGGAGATCATTCACAATCTTTGACGTTTGAGTTTACATGAACCATTCTGTGACTTGACTCGAGTCCTGTATGGCTGTATGAGGCTGTGTCAGTGTGAGCTGAGTGAGAGTGACTTCGACAACCGGACACGGACTACAGACTCAGTACACGACTTTTGCATGTACTTTCAGACCACAGAAGCTTGTCATTGAAATGGTAGACTCATGAGTGGATTCTGTCCACTGCCCGTCGTCAAGTGACGACGGGCAGTGGATTCTGTCCACTGCCCGTCGTCAAGTGACGACGGGCAGTGGATTCCGTCCACTGCCCGTCGTCACTTGACGACGGGCAGTGGAACTAGTTCCATCACCATTCATCAGGCAGGATCGCGCTTTCCAGCCCGCGTAATTTGATCTGTCATTGGTCGACTCCAAGGCGACAGTCATGTGACATACGGGAAGAGCATTTTTCCTGGTCACGATATCGCGATGCAGCGCTCAATCATCCCTACCTAGTACATGTACATGACCACAGGTATTGGAGACTAACTCATTCGTAGTCGTACTGACTGAAGTCCGTTTTGGACGGGAGATTGAGTAGTTTGAGGATCTATGATTTCTGCTCCAGACTCTCTCCATTGCCTTTCCTGTGCTAAAATTGTACTTCAAAGTTTTATGACTTGGGGACTTGGAGCTCATCGCGTGCTAGTTTGTACGTGAAGTGTGTGGATTACAGTGAGAGCTGCGTCCCGCCCGCCGGTGAGGATTTACCGGAAGCGTGAGTAGCGAAGACTGAAGAGAGTATTTTATTGGGCTGTGTCTGCTGGGATGACAGCTACAATGTGCAGTGTACATGCATTATACATCTGTGCATGCATATACCCTGTACATTGTATGAACGTGTACATTCAATGTACATGTACATGTGCATCATAGCCAGATAGGTCGGTGGTTAGAGCATCGCTGGCCTAAACTTTCGAGTTTCGAAGGTCCCTGGCTCGGGTCCTGGTGGTGACAGTGAATTTTTCCGTCAGACGTTTCCCGTTTGCATCTCTCCCTCAAACCAATGAGTAATGCAAAGTGTTAGTGTTTTTATGCGAGTCGATCTCACCATTGCAGTACGTAATCCCTTATCCATGCACGGAGCTTCTCAATGCGGTTGAGTTCCTCTCACGACGTCACCCTGGCCTGGAGTAAAGGTCTGAAACTTCTCTTGGCTAAGTAACGTTAGTTCAGCCAGATAACCCCTCGGCCTCGCATCCCTTGTTCATTTTCGTCATGCTACATAGCCAAGGATGCGTACAGGTACTTATGTATTTGAAGCATCATTACATTTTGAAGTGCATGCAGGTTAACTCTGGTTTTGGACACATCCTAGATTGACTGTTGTGGTAGATGTACAATCATGTACAATCATGTACAGTGTACATGTGCAGTCGAACACCAAGAGACCGATGACATTTGTTCGCAATAACCGGGGAGTTCTTCTTATCCGTGTGTTATACCCAGTGAATACGCAGTCATTTTATCCAATGGAGTTGCGAATACTAGTTCTTCTTAACCAAACATTCGTCTTATCAGTGTTCATCCTAACGAGGTTTCACTTTACTTCAAGCGGAAGTACGATACCGGTCATGTTGTGCTACTTGGCACGTCGATCACTGGATCTTCTGTCAAGTGCAGTACTGCCAGTAGTGCTAATACTAAGTACCAGGTACTCTAGAAGTAAAACATTGGTAAACATTGGTAAACACCGGTATACATGTACATGTACATATAGCTACACTCAATCTGAGGACAGAACTGTTTCGTCCTTTGTGGACTCATGGCTCGGAGTCATCAGTGCAGCACAGAGGAAATGAGGCCGCATCTGATAGCAATGAACAATACATTTTCAAAGTCAGATTTAAACCAGGCCCGAATGTACCTTCCTTGCCAGAGTGCTCAAACTGACTAGTCAGTGAGCTCTGCATAACGCAAACAGCAAAGGTACTACCCCAAAATGAGATACATGTACTTATAGCCTAGTTGTAGGTAAGCATTGGAGAGTAGTCTTTTACTAAGTACATGTAGCTGCTGGCGGATAATGCTCTAGATATTGTCTGGCAGGTTCTGCTCGAAAGGCGGTGAAATATTGGCAGAACCAATTACACCAGGTCCGTACAATGTATGTGAGGCACTTCCTTCAATTCTGCTCCATTTCTTTATCCACATACCCAACATGCATGAATCGTACATGTACATGTACAAGACTGTGCGTATACAAGAATGGCCGAACAAGTGCCAAGTTCTGCCCATTGTTCTGATGGCATTATCCGCCAAGAGCCAGGCCCAGGTCACCCCATACATCTACATATAGATCGATATTTGCAAAGTACAAGACTACTAGTAGTGTGCATGTGCATGTGCATGTGCAGTTGCGCTGGGTGAAATCCAACCCAGAGTGCACATTTGGCGCCCTCAATCTGCACGGCCCTTGAAGTGGTACTAATGTGGCTGGACGTACATGCACACATGTACAAACACAATGATGTAATCGCAACTGGTACAGCTACAGGGCGCCATTTTTGCACTTTGGGTCGGATTGTGTACTTTTTGCGTTCCAATGATTATCCTCTTCGCTGAGGAAATCTATGAAGAATAAAATAGTTCCGGCCTTTTCAATAGCCTTTTTTTTTACAATGCCCTCCCTCCCCTTCTAATAGACCCTCCCAAGGTTAGCCGACAACCCTATGTATTATTATGGGCAGTCCGCCGGTCCTAGTAAACCGCAGGGGGGGGGGGGGGGGATGGTGCTGTGAAAATGGCCTTACCTTCTTGGTATGGAGTCAGAGAGTCATCGGGCCTGGGCTGGGCGCATACGGTGGCCAGCGACTTACGAGGCGATCTGGGCCTGTTGTGGTAGAGGCTCTTCAGATGGATGTACTGCACACCCGCTAGCTTCTCCGAGTCAATGCCTCTGTACTGGGGAGCGCTTGACAATGAGGACTGAGACGGAACAATACAAACAAACAGTACAGCGAGCAAGGCGGTTACCCCCAAAAGGTGGCGGGTAGCTAAGCAAGCCTTCATTGGAATATTCATTCTCGGTTTCTGTAAGGTTAGCTGCCTCACGACTGGGTCTACAGAACAATGAACTTCAGGAGACAGTAAATGCTTCTGGTCGACTTTGATTCGCTGAATGTGGAGGCGGTAGATGATAAAACTCAGGAAGATTCGGTGGGCTTTTATAGCCAGGAGGCACGCCGGCAGCTGTCAGCTATTTGGCTCTGCTTCGCCACAAGCAGAGTGATGTTGACCAAGCGACCTATTCGGATTTACGTTGTATCAGTGGCCGGCGTAGCGTAGCTGTGCCCTCGCGACACAAGCAGCGGGCATTTTGCAACGATCAGGGACAGGCTGCATAGCAAGGCCGTGGCTGACCGGGGTGACTTGGCTAGAGTCAAGATGGCCGAAATGGCATTACTAACAGTACATGCCATGGCTCTACTACTACAACTACAAGTACAAGTCTACAAAACATCCATGATCCACATCCACGAAGTCCCCAATAACTGCCTGAGTAAAAATAGTGCCCACAAGTGCTGAAGTACGGAGTGTCAAGTCGGGGATGTACGGCACTATGCCTATGCCAGTACTATGCCAGTACTATACTATGGCCAGTATGCCATGTATGTATGGGGTTGATGAAAGGTGCACTCAACAGAATAATTGCGTCACGTGATCCATTCTGGATCCAAGAATCTTATCAAACACTAGCCCTTTCAAGTAACAGTTAGTTTCAAGAATCAAGGTCATATTTTGAATAAACACAGAAAATAGAAAGTCAACAGTGGACAATCCGTGTCCGGCTGCACTGAGCTGACGGACGGACCTGCTGCAACATGATCACACCTACATGTTCACACCTACCTGGCATTGTGCAGGTCTACATGATGGTTCATGTCATGTAGTAACACTAACAGGAGACAGGATCCAGGAATCGGTACAAACGACTCGCCTCATGAGTCATGTAGTCTGCACTAGCCGCATGTGTGTAGTTTCACTACCACACTCAGGTTTACCAGCAGCATACTGCTTCTCATGCGGAGGCAACATTCCAATGATACACAGACCACATGAGCACCGGTCTTGTGCAGTCACAGGAAAACGCTGCGCTGTGCGATTCCGGACGGGGATCATGCCTGTCAAGTAGCCTCGCTACAAATACCTTATTTTAGCAAGTACGAAACTATTACTTACTTGTAGTAATCAGATTGTATATGCATTGTTGGTTGCCTTCTCAGTTCTCTAGTCTAGCCTCCTTCGCAGTGTTACACTGCGAAGGAGGCCTGGATGAGACAGCATGCTAAGCGCTAGCCCCACAAAATAATAAGCATTTCACCATCAGACTCACGTGTCCTTCGTGGGTGATGCACTACAGTTTCGTGCGGCTATTTTCGGCACCCTGGTCTTGGCCTGGGTAAACCCCTCAGCCTGTATGGTAGTTGGTAGACAAACATAACGACGTACAATCATGTACGACCAACGCATATGGCCGATTGGTTTGCAGGCCTGCCTGCGAATCAGGAGGTCCCGAGTTCGAGACCCGCGCTTAGGCCTTGACAGATTATGCTAGATTAGAATCAATGTCAATCAACTCGTAAAAACTTCAAGTCAATCTCCCATTGACACAAACCTCGTTTATTCAACATAATCATATCCTATCCAATAAAAACAGTTCATAAAAACAGTTCATAAAAAACAGTTCATAAAAACTGTACATGTACGTACACACAATGGAAGTGGTCCTCACTAAGGAAACATAATCTGTTGCTACTCCGAGTTTCTTGAGTTTCTCAATCATCAGCCTTTCAGGCAACATACCGTACTAACTAAATGAAGCAGGATTGTCAGGTTCACTAGAGACTTAAAAGTCAGTAAAAATACATGTACAGCCACACAGCAAGACGCACAAAAGAAAGCGTGAAGTGTGATCGGGAGCTGAGAGGCTGCTGGGTGCAGGTGGTGTAAAAAATGTACAATGTACAGGTACAGTTGAACATCGATTATCCGACCACCACTGGGCAGACAACTGTCAGGCGGTGTTCAGATAAGGCAAATGTTCCGGATAAGAAAAAAACTGTCACTCACACACTTTCAGTGGTTATTACTAGCCGCACGACCATTTTTTACTTTTTACTTTTCAAAATTTTCGTATTTTTTGAATGGCTCACTACATGCACCATGTGCACAGTGCGTACTCTACGGCACGTGCGACCAAAAAAACTGTTACGGATAATCGAATGGTCGGATAGTCGATGTGCGGATGATCGATGTTCAACTGTACATGTACTCAAAGTACATGTACCTACAATGTACATGTACATGATTGTACAGTTGTCTAAAGCTTACACTGTTACAGTGCTCAATGCCCACTGGACAGAGCAAGCAAAAATAATTATTAATATTACACAGCAATGAATCAAACATGAATCAAACATGTACATGTACATGTACATGCTGGCTAAAATAACGTTACATATGTACGTGTACATGTAAGCGAGGAGAGGAGAGCACGAGGCGTCATACATTAGCCCTATAATAAATGAATGGCGAGGACAACAAGAGGTGGTGCACACTGGTTACATGGTGATAATCACACAAAGTGAGAGAGAAGCGTGAGAGAAGTGTGAGAGAAGTGTTAAGGGGGCGCGAGCGAACGCAAGCCAGAGCGCAACATAAGAGTGAAATGTGTAACGTGGAAGTGAAACAACCGCACATGCACAAACTCAAACACAAACGCACACGCACACACACAAACACACACACAAACAAACAAACACACACACACTCTATCGCCATCATAATATTGGGCATCAATGCCCGTTTGGTTTGCGATGTAAAATAAAAATTCAAACTTCAAACAAAAACACACACAGAAGTGTGTCCGTGAAAGACCATTCCTCGTCCTCATTGATTTCGGGCCTTCTGTCCCTGATTTCAATCGCCTCCATTATCTTTCGGCTTGGGAGTGATGTCTCACGACCCACGATCTGGGCGTTGTTGAAAGGCTCGAGCCCCGTCGCCGCCGTCGCCTCCACCACATCGCCGTGTTGCGTCCTGTAGTGGAATCCCCACGGGGATTTGGCCACTGTGCCCCGTGCCTCCCGGTAGTGCTCGCCAAATCTGATATGTACAGGACGCTCCATTTCACCCACATACTCCTTTCCACAAACAGTGCAAAACATAGAGTACACCACACCTTTCACCACACAAAGACTATCAGGCACACCCGCATCGCACGCTCTACATTTTCTCGGCCGCCCACGTCCTCTGTTCCTCCTCTGCTTCTCACGAAAATTTGGAGATTTCGTTTTGGAGATTTCATTTCCTTTGAATAGAGTTTGCAGCGTGAACGACCTTGGTGTGGTGGTGATGACTGATCGTGAGAAGAGGAAAGGTTATAACAAATGCGTACTGTAGAAATCAGCCATAACATTCGTTACTATGTTACAGAAACTCTGGAAGGAATGAAACCAGCGGGTTCAAAGCGGGTGTTGGCATAGATGGTGCGGACATGAGACACAAAGCAATGACTATTTTGGGTGGTTCTAATGTCAGTGGGGAGAGAATTCCAGGTGGCAGCTGTAGCAAAGAGGAAAGTGGCATCCGCGGCAACTTGGAGTGGGTGACTATGATGCTGGGGAAGAGGGAGTGGTAGGTGCAGCGACTTCCGTAGCGACTTCCGTTCCAATGGTCGTGTGATCGGCAAAGAGAAAAACTTGACAGTGGTCTTCCGATTTGGGATGGTCTGCGGGAGAGAGTTGAATGTACAGAAGGAACAGGATAGGGCCGAGATGGGATCCTTGTGGTACGCCAGCGCGGCTATAGGGCGTACATGTACATGTACATGTACATGTACATGTACATGTACTTCGAGGTACATGTACATGTACATGTGGCTGGCAGGTGGTCTTAGTCAAGCAGACAAGCACGGGCTTTGCAGTATGGTCTTCCATAGATTCATGCCAAATAGTAGAATATTCGAATCTACATGATTGTACACAATGTACATGTAGTACACGTACATGTACATGCAAAGTAATAATAATAATTTCTTGGAGTTTTCCAATGTATTGTAGTTGAATAAAATTCTATTTTAACTTTCATGGTATCTCTATTTTTCACGTCTACATGACTTTATTTTGCCCGTAAAAGAGGCCGTTACCCCCGAAAAAAATAAATAATAATTGACGCACAATGTACAATTCATGTACATGTACATGTACATGTACATAACGATGTTTGTAGTGTTGTGGACATGGAAATCCAGTCGATTGACCGGAGCCGGCGCCCTCAGTGCGTACAGAACAACGCTTGATCCGATGCGACCAGCGGACTGCGGCATGCGTGTCCATGTACGAGGTGGTTTGGCTTTTTATAAAATGGTTGTAAAATGACGTTTTTTCAGTCACTTCTAGACAAGCTACGTCCAAATAAATTATTGCAAGTGGAAGTGCTATCCTTCATGCCCATTGTGTCCGAAAATGGCAATGATCCCACTTTGGAAAGTGTCTTGAATCATGTCCTACTTTCATAGTATTCTCAGGATTCAAATAGTTGGTGTGTCATTTTTTAACAAATTTGTAAAATGGCATCACAAACTGGGATATTCGGTCATCAATGTTCTGAAGTTGATAGATATGACTTCAAGGATTGCTCGTCGATGAAAATTAATCTGTCAACAGAGGAGTGAACTGCATTGTATGCTTCGAAAGCCGTGTTTTTGTATTTGTAACTAGTGGCTGTGTTATACGGTGGAATTGGATAGATAGCATAGCATCGCAGCGATGTTTTCGTTCTCACAGAGTGTATTCCGTGACCTACTGTTCTTCATTACTGTCTCTAGTGATGGCAAGACGGCCTGACGTCGTCCAAAGGCCCTGCGGAAGCAATCCACTGCCCTCCTCGTCCATTCAGGGGCTTATTTTACACATTTTACACAAAACAGCAAAGCAGCCACCACTAGGTATACCGACGTGGCAGGGAGAATTAAATTATATGCACCAAATTTTCTGGTCAAAGTTGATCTACGATAAACTGGCTCTCATTTGCCACCACCCATGTTTCGATACAGCCATCCGGAGCAAAGAAACAGCCAGAAGAAAAGCAAACTTTACACATTTGTTAAAAAATGCCAAATGTATTACTTCTCTCTGCTCTACGTATCCCTGACCATAGGCTAGGTTACTTACAATTCTCACCCTATAAAAGCTGCTGCCTTTCTAGTTTCCTACAGACCAGTTCTCCGCAGATCAGTTCCCTGTATATTAGTTGCCTGCTAGATTCTGACTATTACCTGAGAACTCTCTCTCTCTGTCTCTGTCTCTCTCTCTCTCTGTCTCTCTCTCTCTCTCTCTCTCTCTCTCTCTGTCTCTCTCTCTCACTCTCTCTCTCTCTCTCTCTCTCTCTCTCTCTCTCTCTCTCTCTTTCTATAATTTCCCCATATGCGTTCCTATCAGT